CTCTCTCTCCCACTCTCCCTGCTTGTGTTCCCTCTCTCACTGTGTCTCTCTGTCAAATAAATAAATAAAATCTTTAAAAAAAAAAAAAAAAAAAAGAATCTGAACTCTGATCTGCCTGACTCTAGAACCCATATTCTTATAAGCAACTATTTATTGAAGCCATCAATCAGATGTTCAAAATGCTGTTCTAAAGATGAGGGAATGCAAAGATGAGCTCCTTGGGGTCTTACAGTGAGTGGGGGAAAGGCAGGTATACAACAACCACAATATTGGGCAATAATATAACAGCCAAAGAAAGGTCAGGGTCAGGAGTGGACTAGGAGAAAGAAGATTGCATCCAGCTGGACTCACGCTGGGCTTTGTGCATTTTAGATGAGCCCTGAAGGATGAGCTCTAACTAGCTGAGAAGTGGGGAGGGGGTGGAGACAGTGCAGCCAGAGGCTGAAGCAGCCAGTGGTGTTTGGAAAACAGCGCACAGGTTGGTTTGGCAAGAAAACAAGGCATGTGCAAGGTTTGAGTAGTAGGGAATCTGACCTTATCGTAGGCTGCTTTGTATACATTTGGAGACATTAAAAGTTTTTGAATAAGGGGTTAATATGCAGAATATATGAAGAACACCTACAACTCAACAACCAAAAGCAAACAACCCAATTAAAAATTGGGAAAAGGACTTGATAGACATTTCTTCAAAGAAGATACACAAATAGTCAACAAGCACATAAAAAGATGCTCAACATCACTAATCTTTGGGGAAATGCAAATCAAAATCACAATGAGATACCATTTCATACCATTAGGATGGCTACTATGAAAAACCAGAAAATAGCAAGTGAGGAGGTGGAGAAATTGGAACACCAACCATGGGAATGTAAAATGGTGCAGCCACTACAGAAAACAGTATGGCGGGTCCTTAAAAAATTAAAAATAAAATTACCATATGATCTAGGAATCCCACTTATGGGAATATACTCAAAGAAATTGAAAGCAGGTACTTGAGCAGATATGCTCATGCAGATAAGCCCATGTTCATATCCACACTATTCACAATAACTAAAAGGTAGAAGCAATCCAAGTGTCCCATCAGCAGATAATTGGGTAAATAAAATGTAATATACACATATATACAATGGAGTATTATTCAGCCTTAAAAAGGAAGGAAATTCTGATACATGCTACAACATGGATGAAGCTTGAGGACATTATGCTAAGTGAAATAAGGTAGTCACAAAAAGGTGAATACTATATGATTTCACTAATCTGTAATACCTAGAGTAGTCAAAATCATAGAGACAGAAAGAACAATGGTGGTTGCCCAGGGCTGGGCAGAGGAGGGAATGAGGAGTTGCTTTTAATGGGTATAGAGTTTCAGTTTTACAAGATGGAAAGAGTTCTGGACATTGTACAACACTGTGAATGTGCTTAACACTACTGAACTGTACACTTAAAATTGGTTTAGATGGTAAATTTTATATTATGTATATTTTACCACAATTAAGAGTTTTTTAAAGTTTTTGAGCAATGGCGAATTAAACTTTAGTATGTAGAATAAATTTGAATAGACCTGAGGCAGGATGATGAGAAGGTTGTTATAACCAAATAAAGGGTTTTGTGGCTTTAGACTAGGAAATGATGGCATTAGAAAGGTAAAGAGACACAGAGCTGTGATTACAGCTCTTCTCAGACCTCCTTCCTAAATATACCTGTACCATTGGGTTGGGAAGGTTTGTTTTGTTTTTTCTTTATTGTTTGCTTTTGTCAGTATTAGCCTCTAGATGTCTAGGAGCAAGGATGACTTAATCCTTTATGTATAGCACCCAGCACATCAGACAGAAGCTTAATAACTGCTATTTTGAGAACATGTATTGGTTGGGCAGCAATAATTATGAAAGAGCACTGGCCTGGTTTTGATACCAGTTCAATTTCCATAAGCATGAAAAGTGTTAGGGTTTTACTGACGTCTTAAATATTTCAATACTAGTAGTTATTTCTGAGTAAAATTTGAACCCCCAAACTATGATGAAAGCATAAAAACGAACGTATAACTCCTATGAAACTGATGAGCTCTTCAAACCTCTGTGTCCGGACAGCTTGTGGTCATCAGTGACCCCCACATCAAGATCGATCCTAACTACTCAGTGTATGTTAAGGCCAAAGAACAGGGCTTCTTTGTGAGGAATCATGAAGGAGGAGACTTTGAAGGAGTATGCTGGCCTGGTAAGATAGCACTTTATACACTTATTAATTCACTTGTTTAGTCCCAATTAATGGAGGTTGCATGGCCATCACCCTCATTTCTTATAGATGTCCCTTGCTATAGTGTAAGCACCTTTAAGAAAGAGATGGTATTACCTTCTTTTGTATCTTTCATAACACCTGGTACAGAGTGCTTTGTATACATTTATCAGTCAATGAATGAATAAAAAATAAGCAAGCACTCCATTTCTCTAGGCAAATAAAAATAAAAAGCCAAGAAAAAGTGTTCACAGTCTCTCCCTGTGAATCTTCTATGCCTTGTTAGCTCATAGTTTTGATTTCCCAGACTTTTCATGAGTGACCTCAGCTGCCTCCAGCAACTCTGGATTCTTCATTTCAGAAATTATTAGTTTAAAGCCATGGTAGAAACCCGAGGACAAAGGGGAATCACCACTCTATCATATCCTGGCACTCTATCACAAATCCACATACTGAAGAGACACCCTACGCATTCCTTTTCCCCCTTACACCACTCATGAACATTTCTCTGTTCTCTTTAAGGACAGAAGGGTCACTCCAGGATATTTGCCATGCTTACTTGGGCTATCTTGGGCCATCAGTGAGGGACAGGCTCCATCTGAATGCTTGTTCATTGGCCTTCCCCTGGGCCTCTCGGGTTGGAAGGTCTACTGATTATCACTGAAGTCCAGCATTGCCTTCCTTCATGTCTTGCGCGACCGTGCCTCCACCTCAGCTACCTTATGTCTAAGGTGCCCAGTGATCAGCCAGCTTTTACATCTTTACCGCACATCCTACCATGAACACCACTGTTTCTCACAGTCTACTCTTCTGCCTCTACAGGTCTCTCCTCTTACCTGGATTTCACCAATCCCAAGGTCAGAGAGTGGTATTCAGGTCTTTTCACTTTCTCTGCTTATCAGGTTTGTTTTTATTCTTTTGCTCTTTCCTAGTTACTTGGAAGGATGAAAGAAGGAAAAACATGATAGAATAGAACTACTACTCTGCTTCATTGAGTAGCTCTTGATAAATACTACTTGGCTGAAAATGCAAGGATAGCAACCACATTACAGACTTTAATGGTGCCAGGAGAGGTGCCATATCTATTATCAAAGGCACAAAAGCTGTGATTTCTACCTCAATCATAATAGACTCTGTGACATATCAAAGTACTTAATAATAGAGATTTATATTTTCAAATTACTCCATAAACTTTACATAAAATAATATTCTATAGCTTAAAGATGATGATAGTGACATATATGAGAATATCTTGCAAAGTATAATGTGACATTAGAAATAAGGTATAGGGGTGCCTGGGTAGCTCAGTCAGTTAAGTGTCTGCCTTCGGCTGGGGTCATAATCTCAGAGTCCTGGGATCGAGCCCCACATCGGGCTCCCTGCTCAGTGGAGAGCCTGATTCTCCCTCTCCCTCTGCCTCTGCCCCTCCACCTGCTTTTGCTCTCTCTCTCTAATAAAAAAATAAAATCTTAAAAAAAAATAAAAGATGTAATAAAACTTGAAATTTAAAAAAGTAAGTGAAATAATAAATAATCCTTAAAATATTATAAGAATCCCAGAGAGAACCAGAAAGGCCACTTGTAGAGAACTGTTTTCAACCAATTAGGAGGATGATAGTGATGCCTCATATAAATTGAGTTCTTTATTGTGTGCCAAGCACTGTGCTAAGCAGTTTCTGGGCATTTTACCATTTCATCTTCACAAAAACCTCTGAAGTTGGAACTATAATTAATTCTAATCCCACAGATGAGGAAACTGATGTATGGACAAGTTTAAAACCCTGCTCAGTTCACCCATGTTACTAAGTGCTGGACCTAAGATTTGATCTCAGTCTGTTTGTCTCTCACGCCCAAGTCTTAACCACTAAACTCTAGTTTCTGAGCATCATGTATTAGGACACAGAAAACAACTTAGAGGAGGGATAAATACCACTCGGGTGAAATCTGGCCATGTTCATTCATTTCCCTACCGTCTATGGCTGTTTTCACACTATATCAGAGTTGAGTTACTGAAAAAGAGGCATTATGGTCAGCAGAGTTGGAAATATTATCCAGCCCTTTCTAGAAAACATTTGCCAACCCCTGATTTGGAGAGTGCTATAGGAGGACAGTCAAGGTAGTTAAATATTTGGAAACCGTATAGCCTTGTTCATAAAGTATACATGTTTAGGAATAGTTGAAGGTAGATTCAAAAGAATATATTTAAGTCTCCCCTAGGCATCTGAACGACTGGCATGTGGGTGAGGCAGCAGATGTATTCTGTGGTATCCCAAAAGACAAGCCAGACCCACTGAGAGGATGTTACAAGGGGCAGGACTTTTAGAAAGTAATGGAATGAGCTTCCTGTGGGACTCCCTGTCATTGTAGCTACTGAGTCAAATGCTGAGAGACCAGGGATTCTATAAAAGGGATTTCAATACCGTGTTAACTAGATGACTCAGCAGCCCCTTCCCACTCTCAATTGAACAATTCCTATGTAGAATACAAAATCTAGACCATGCTAACAAACAGGTATACTGGCTGCCAAGTCTTTCAAAGTAGGGACGGCTGGGTGGCTCAGTCCATTAAGCACCTGCCTTCAGCTCAGGTCATGATCTCAGGGTCCTGGGATCCAGCCCCGCATTGGGCTCCTTGCTCAGCAGGGAGCCTGCTTCTCCCTCTCCCGGCTGCTCCCCCTGCTTGTGCACTCTCTCTCTCTCTGACAAGTAAAAATAAAAATCTTTAATAAAAAAGTCTTCAGAGTATTAGAGGGAAGGCAGAATCTTATCGTGGAAAGCTTTAATTGCCCTCAGTTAAGAGTTGTAGCAGATGATGGTTGTTATAGAATCTAACTGTGAACATTCACAACCTTTCCTATATGGGGGTTCTCCAGAGTAGGTCTTGGAGTGGATTTGCTGGGCAGTGTATATTTCACAGACAATACCACACAGCATTCTTTCATTCATCGACAAATACTTATTGGGAACCTTCTGTAGTTCAGCTACTGTTTTAGGTGTTTGAGATTTATCAATGAACAAAATGGACAAAATTCCCTGCCCTGTGGACCTTTTATTATAGCATTGGAACAGAAGACAGAACATAGATAATAAACATAGTAATAATACATTAAATGGATTATGAAAGAAGAATAGGATGGCTGTCATATTAACATCATCACTATAGGAGTATTATCACGACCAAAGAAGAAATTTACTTCCTAGGGATCTACTGACATCCTCTACATATGGAACGACATGAATGAGCCCTCTGTCTTTAGAGGGCCAGAGCTAACCATGCAGAAGAATGCCATTCATCATGGCAATTGGGAGCACAGGGAACTGCACAACATCTATGGTTTTTATCAGGTAAGACATCCATAAAGAAGCCACTTGGACTCATGTGCCCTGCCTTCTGGGTTGAAAGTCATTTGTAATAGCCTTACTATATTGTTCATTTCTCTTTGTGTGACTTTTCTAACAACTGCAATGGATCTTACAGGTTGTAGCCAACATAGGACTTACTATTTCTTTGTACCTTTTCTTTCTCTAATGAACTTGAATTACAGATATTATGAGATTAATGGTAACATAGAAACATCTTCCTTGACAGGAGTCATTAATAAATGGCATTGAATACCTCAAAACTTTTTTTGGAGTAGGCAATGTATAAATACATAAACAAAAGCAATTAAAACAAATTTTTTGAAATTTCACAAACGGGGGCACCTGGGTGGCTCAGTTGGTTAAGTGTCTGCCTTTGCCTCAGGTCATGATCCCAGGGTCCTGGGATTGAGCCCCGGGTCAGGCTCCCTGCTCAGCAGGAAGTCTGCTTCTCTCTCTCCTCCTGCCCTTCCCCCGGCTCGTGCTCTCTCACTCTCAAAATCTTTTTAAAAAATGAAATTTCACAAATGTCTAAATACAGCAAGTCTTATATTCATACCAGGGGAATAAGATTTAGAACATAGATACAGAATTTCAGTAAGTTTTTTTTTTTTAGAAGGCCTTCATTAACTACTTAGCCTTCTCGAAAAATGAAGGGGGGCAAATCGGAGGGGGAGACGAACCATGAGAGACGATGGACTCTGAGAAACAAACTGAGGGTTTTAGAGGGGAAGGGATGGGGGGATGGGTTAGCCCAGTAATAGGTATTAAGGAGGGCACGTATTGAATGGAGCACTGGGTGTTATACGCAAACAATGAATCATGGAACACTACATCAAAAACTAATGATGTAATGAATGGTGACTAACATAATAAAATAAAATAAACTACTTAGCCTTCTCATTAGAAGATGGTAGAATTGTCTTCCATTTGTCAGTCATTTGCCCTAATTGATATCCATGGTTCTTTGTTATTTTCATCCTGTAACTGTGTTCCTAAGGCCCTCCCACCAACTGGTATATTTTCCAGTGGGAGTTGCTGCCTACATAAACACATACTATCTGAACTGTGCTTTACTTCCTTGAAAGCCTCTTGCTATAACTGCAAACTACTTTAGAGAATTTTCTTATGTAGGCCAGAGCCAGTCACTTAACCTCTCTGAATCTCAATTTTTTTCATCAATGAAAACGGTCAATCTCAGAGGTTGTTCGATAGATTTTAAGAGAAAATCTTATAAAATGCTTAGCAATAGTAAGCATTGAATATGCTAGCTTATTTACTATCTTCATTTCTCTTTTAATCAAAGAAAATTTTCCACTCTGGATAGGGGAATTTAGTTTCATTACATCATGAAAATTATTTGGTGGATTTTCATATTTTCCATTTTATATTCCCACCTACTGTTGACTTTTTGCATGTTCAGTAGCTTATTAGGGATGTCTGCACAATGTCCTAATCTAATCATCCCTTTGAAATTTTTCTCCTTTATCTTTGTAGCAAATGGCTACCGCAGAAGGACTAATACAACGATCTAAGGGAAAGGAGAGACCCTTTGTTCTTACACGTTCTTTCTTTGCTGGATCACAAAAGTATGGTAAGGAATGGCTCATATGATCAGACTTAAAAACGTAAGTTAGCAACCTGCCTTTTTTTTTTTTTTTAACCATTTATGGCATATGTTGCTACTGTTTTGAGGCCTTCCTTTTCAGTGGCAATTGGGAAGGCCTTCGATTGTAGCAAGTGATGTGCCCTGAAGTATGCCTTTTGTCCTGTGAGACAGAGTACATCAATTTTAGTAAAGTTTAGTTACTTGTTTCCCATTGAAGAAATGGACACTTAGTTGCTGGGAGAATATCTCAGTTTGTTTGCTGGGATGGTCATCTCTGATTCTGTTTGATTTATCTAAACCAGGGGAAAATGTCTTCTTAGACATTCCTTCAACCACCTGTTTCACTTAGCAATATGGCTTAAAATAGGCCTGCCTGTTGCTTGTGGTCAGGGTCATCTATAACTGGATTCAGTTTACTAGCTAACGCAGATCTAATTCAACTTAACCATATTCCAGCAGGAAGGCTATTTTAAGTGCTCTGGCCTTGCATAAATAACTGGGAGCTTAGGTCCTAGTTTGAAGAATCCAGTCTTTCCTGTATCATAGACATTATTAGGCTTCTTCCTCCAGCCCTGAAAACCAGCCCCTGTGGCACCCTGGAAAAGGCCAAAATATTGTTATCTCAGGCAAAGATTCATGTGCAGAGATGCTCACCACAGCATTACTTCCTGAAACAAAAAAAGAAATAAAATCCAAATAAAGGAATATTTATAAAAACATGATGATATATCCATATGACAGACTATTATAAGACTATTTAAAATAGTAGCCTTAATTGCATGAGCAAATGTTTGTGACATCATGATAAATGGGGAAAAAGAGCAGAATGCTTAAATGTTTTTGTAGTATATTATCATGATTTTTTTTTTTTTAAATATAGATGGCAATCGAAATCAGTAAGTTTAGTACCTGGGTGATTATGAATGATTTTTAAATTTTTTTCTTTTTACCTATCTCTATTCTCCATATTCTCTACAAGGGTCATTTTTAATCACTAAAAAAAGTCAAGTGTTTTTAATGAAAACACTTTTAAGTAGTTTAAAAATGATGATAAAAGATGTACATACTAAGTAATCTCTGATCCCTTAAATATCGGCCTGCTGCCTAGTCTTCAGTGCTCTGTGTGAAACTGTTGGCCTGCCACAAAGTGTACCAAGTGACTCATTGCAGAGAACACTACTGTGTCAAGTCTTACACTTAGACCAGTAGCCAAAGAGCGCTTCTGACTGAACAACCATATGAGACATGAAAAGATGTGCATGCTTTTACAAGAACTTTCTTTCTTGATGAGAATGCCGCCATGTTGATTTCAAAACCATTTTATCTCATTTGAAGTCAAAGCAAAATTATTAGAGTACCTTTTAAAAACAAAACAAAACTGGGCACCTGGGTGGCTCAGTCGTTAAGCGTCTGCCTTCGGCTCAGGTCATGATCCCAGGGTCCTGGGATCGAGCCCCATGTCGGGCTCCCTGCTCTGCGGGAAGCCTGCTTCTCCCTCTCCCACTCCCCCTGCTTGTGTTCCTGCTCTCACTATGTCTCTCTCTGTCAAATAAATAAATAAAATCTTTAAAAAACAAACAAAAAAAAAACAGTCCCTTGAAAAGATTTTTCTTTGCGGGCCATACAACAGCCAAAAATTTCTGTGGAAGATTAATACAAAAATAGCTAACAAAGCTATTTTGGTAGAAGATAGACAAAAATGCTTCCAGACTAATCTAGATTTAGTAAGATTTTTTTCTTTTGTGGATCTCTTTAGTGGTATATAATCTATCTTCACAAATTCTTATCTACTATACAGTGATCAAGAGCAGTGGCTTTAGAATCAGACTGCCTGAGCTCAGTCCTGCCTCTACCACATAATAACTGTTACTCAGGGTATACTATAATAATCACTGTTTGCCATATTTCTGTCATCTGTAAAATGAAGTTAAATAGTGTTTACCTGGTAGGGTTGTGATGATTAAGTGGGCTACTACAAGCAAAGTAGAATCACCTGGCTCAGTAAGGACTTGAAAAATGTTAACTATTGTTCTTGCTACTATTATTATGTCTCCTTTATGTAGTCTGTACCACTCCTCTTAAATTATGGAGGGTTTTTTTTTTTTGAGGGAGTGGAGGAATAGGCATATAAATCAATGGAACAGAATTAAGAATCCAGAAAGAGTCCAACACACATACGATCAATTAATTAGGAAGAGAGTTACCAAGGCAATTCAGTGCAGAAAGGAGTTTTTCAATAAATGGTGTCAGAACCCTGAGTATGGAGTGGGGGGAGGGGGAGAGGAAAGAACCTTACCTCTCACTACACAAAAAGTAATTCAAAATGGAATATAGACCTAAACTATAAAAGCTAAAATCAAAAACTTCTAAAAGGAAACATAAATCTTTGTGACTTTGAGATAGACAAGATTTCTTGGAGAGAACACAAAAAGCATGAACCATAAAAGGAAAAAAAGTGCTAACTTGGACTTCATCAAAATTAAAAACCTCTGCCCTTTCAAAGATATTAAGAAAATGAAAGTCAAGCTTCAGATTGAGAGAAAATATCTTCAATATACATATATATCTGTCAAAGGACTTGTACCCAAGATATATAAAGAACTTTTACAGTTAAATAATAAAGACATCTACTTTTAAAATTAAGCAAAAGACTTGAATAGACACTTTACAAAAGAAGACATGAGTGATCAATAAATACATGAAATGATGCTCAACATCATTAGTCCGTAGGGAAATACAAATTAAAACCACAGAGAGACACTACTACACATCCACTACAGTAGCTAGAATTAAAAAGACTGACACTACCAAGTATTGCCAAGAATGTAGAGTGACTGAAATTGTCATACGTACTGATACTGTAAAAGCAGTATAGCCACTATGCCAAACAGTTTGGAGTTTTCTTTAAAAAAAAAAAATTTATTTGAGAGAGAGCACAAGTGGGGGGTGGGGAGGGGGGCCTGTGGGCAGAGGGGGAGAGAGAATCTTAAGCAGACTCCACATTGAGCTCGGAGCCCGACGTGGGGGTTGATCTCATGACCCTGAGATCACCATCTGAGCCGAAACCAAGTTGGTCGCTTATCTGACTGCACCACCCAGGCGCCCCCAGTTTGGAATTTTTTAAAGTGTTCAACATACACTGAACACAGACCCAGCAGTTCCGCTCCCAGGTAGTTTCTCCCAAGAGAAATGAAAAACATATGTCATGCAAAGATTTGTACAGAAATGTTTATAGCATCTGCCTTCATAATAGCCAAAACTGAGAAAGAATTCAGATGTCCCTCAGTAGGTGAGTAGATAAACAACTTGTGATCAATCCATACTATGGAATATTCATCAAATAAAAAGGAATAAGCTACAACATTATGCTGAGTGAAAAAAGCTAGAACACAAAATAGTATGTTTTATGTTATGTTTATATGAAATTCTAGAAAAGACTTTAAGAAATCAGATCAATGGTTGGGTAAAGTGGAGGGTTATTCACTACAAAGAAGCTGCTTCATGCAGAATCCTATGAATGTTTTGAATCTAAATTGATTTTTTAACTAAATATTCATATGAAGAGGATTCATTTAAAAAGAATTTTAGTCTGAGCAACATCAGCAAACCATAAAGCCATTATTTCTGGGGGGAAAAAAGCCCATGTGATCTTTTACAGTTATGGAAATGGTTCTATACCCTGCTTGTGGTGACAGTTACAGGTTTCAAAACTCATCAAAGTCTTCACTTAAAATAGGTACATTTATTATATGTAAATTATATTTCAGTAAAGTTGATTTTTTTAATGTTTCTCCTAAAATCAGGCTTGAGTTATACTTCAAAAATAAGTGCCATTTCAGAACATTTTCACAAAAGGTTTTGTGGATTTTAAGAACTTTTTCACATTAGAAGATTAATACATTTTTTTTAATTGCTGAA